TTGTTCATGTGCCCATTGGGCGATAACAGGAGTGGCAGAGGAAAGAGGAGGACCAGTCTCCACAGTGCGTGTCATCTTATCCTCTTGATTATTAAAGTCCTCCTCATCAGAGGTAATCCTTTGGTGAGCGTTCACGTGAGGTACAATTACCTTTACTTTCTTGGCCCATTCAGAGAGTTCTATCCACATACCTTTTCCCTACACCTCAAACCCAACAGCCGATCCAAGGGGGAAAGATGAGGTTAGCTTCTCCTGTAAAGATTTACCAAGTCTTGGAAACCCTTTATAGGGTCACTATGAGTTAGGGTTGACTCAGTAGCAGTGGGTTTGGGGCTTTGTTTAAGGCTAGTGCCTGGTAGTTCAGTAGATGAATTCTTGCTGTCTGCCCAACCAATACATTTCAGTCTAACCCACCACCTGTGGAGGTTTGCGTGTTACACTGAGGCTGACCTGGCCCCTATGGGAGTTTCCAAACTAAGACACGCTAGGAAGAAAGGCCTGGTGATCTACTTCTAAAAAATCAGCAAACCCAGGCAAAGAAAGCAAAAGCTTGTGGATCACAACTCCCCTGTCCCATTGTGCAGGGGTTACCCTGAGTGGAAGTTTGTCGTAAGTCAGGGGCCCTGTGGCAGCTAACAATAACAAAGTTGATCTCCATTTAATATCCACCTAAACGATACTTCCGTAGACAGAAGCAAACGTGTGGTTATCAAAGTCTTTTCTAAACCGTGCAGCCAGCCAAAGTAAGTCTAGAAACAAAACTCTCCAAAACCAATCTCAATGCCCATGAAGTTGATTCCGGCTCATAGCGACTCTCTAGGACAGGTTAGAACCACCCTGTGCATTTCTGAGACTGTGAAGTCTCATTATTCTCTTGAGAAGAGCAGTTAGAGTGGGGGGGGGGGGGGGTTTGAAGTGCTGACCGTTCACTTAACCATGATATCAGACACCTGTGGAAACCAGTCTCCTCCTCCCTCAAGAGGCAGGCCCTAGGCCTGTTTTAAGGAACCCCGATGGCAGAGCGGATGCAAGTTGGACCTCTGACTATAAGGTTAGCAGTTCAAACCCACCAGCCTCTAGAGAGAGATCAGGGTTTTTTTCCTGTAAAGATTTACAGCCTCAGAAACTGAGTCTTTACAGGTCGCTATGTGTCAGAATCTACTCGACGGCACAAGGCTTTGGTTTGCTGAACCTGCTTAGCTCTTTCCAGGAATACTGCTGTACCTGGCATATTTATATTATTTCTCCAGGTAATTGAAATGAGACCCTTGAACTCTTGTCCATAATTAATCAGTTACCTTTTGTCTAGGCTTGTCTGTAGCAGGATTTTGGAAGCTAGAAATAGGAATCTTCTTCAAGCAGCTACTTGAGACCCTTAGTACAACTGGATTCAATTGCTCTGATTGTTTATGAGCTATTCCTCAGGAAGTATTTCTACAGAGAAGAAGAGCACAACTGGCTTTCAAATAGACCAAAAGGTTTCAGATAATATACCAAGGTTCTCTTACTCATTTAAATTTTTGATTAACATTCACTTTAAGAGATTCATTAGTATCTCTTACACACACAGCACAGTTGCCCCACATGGAAAGGTACAAAAGGAGCCCCCAATCTCAAATATATTTTAAGAGAACATTTATTCGGTCTTAAACAGGAACAGGCAAGAGAAAGACGAAGGCACATTAGCACGCAGTCCTCTTGGTGCCTAGCATTTGCAGAGATTAGGAGACTTAAACAGTGCATACAAGGGCAAAGGAAACTGCTGCAGAAGCATGCCTGGCAGATCTGCACAGTTAGAGGTGGGACTACAGAAGTGGGAAAGGGGCCAAAATTTGGACATGTATTTTATGTTAGATAGAAGAGCTTACAAGATTGGCTCAGGGTCTTCCAACCTAGGAAGTCAGGGCATGACTCATGACTGTGCGGCCCCCGTCTGGTGATTTCCATCATGCACACACCCGGTAAGCCCTAAGGGAGCCTCGTCCTCCAAAGACTGGTGAGGGTGGGGCTGGGGAGGGGGGGATAACCTACTTTTTAATGCCCTCTAACTGAGGGCAAGATTGTTCGTATCCCTGGTCAATGGTCAGAAGAAATTCAGTGGAGGCTTCATTCACATGGAGACTCTGCAAACGGATCTGAGGCTTTCACTGCTATCCGTAGCCCTCTGCGAACTTAAGGCTCAGAAAGTAAGCTCGGCTACACCTGGAATCAATTCTGACCCCAGATTACTCTTTTAGAAGTAGATCATCAGGCCTGACTTTCAAAGCACCTCTGAGTGGGTTCAAGCCAACACCAGGGGTGAGTCCTCATCACAGAGTTACATAAATATAATTTTTTTTGTAGGTAATGTTTTGTGAGCCACAACCTTAAAATATTCAATCAACTCCTCATATCAACAAGAGGCTACCCTGTTAAATTTTGCAACATGAGTCATAGTAAAGTAACTCCCAAGCGCTCCATTCAGTCTCCTGTCCATCACACCAAATTAAATGCTCAGGCCACAGACCGGTTTTTTAAGAGAAAAGGGTTACATCAGATTTCAAAAGACTCCTTGGAATCCGATTCAGAAGGCATCGCTCAGGAGGTCAAGCCTGGGTCTGGACTTGAGAGCCGAATCCAAGACCCTGACGTGGAGCCTGACAGCTTAGAGGAGGAAAGCCCCCGAGGAGGGGAGAGACTCAGTGAGACGGAAGAGGAGGTGAGCAGGAAAGTAGCTCTGATGGCCGGCCAGGAAAACCACCACAGCCAGGCCAGTCGCCCAAGCAACAGGTAAGATCAACTTGCATTAGGAATCAATGAGTGCTGATATATGTTGATGAGTAATTGTTGATAGAATTCTAAATAAGCAAGGACGGGTTTGAGAATGAATACCTGGTCATGGGTATGAGACAGGTCTCTAAGCAGCCAAAGTTTCTACCCTCTTGCCACATTCTTTTATGGAAAGAAAACGCAACAACAGATGAATAAATAAATAAAATGTGGTAAATGCCCCCAGTGGAATATTATGCAGCCATAAAGAGAAATGAAGTCCTGAGACTGCTTCAACATTGCTGAACCTGGAAAACATTATGCTGAGGGCAATCAGTCTGAAACAAATACTCTATGATTCTAGTTTTATAAAAAGTCTATTGTTGTTATATGTTGTGAAATTGATTCTGACTCATAGGAACCCAATAAGACAGGGTAGAACTGCCCCTGTGGGTTTCTGAGATTATAACTTTTTTATAGGAGTTACTACCTTAGAGCAGCTGGTGGTTTTGAACTGCTGACCTTGTGGTCAACAGCCCAACGCATACTATTGGGTAGTTGCACTCAGTCCTATAGGAGCACTGTGTTGGAATCACCTAAAGGGCAGACAACAATAATCTTACAGTGTTTCAGAGAAAGGCTATGATCATGCCACGATGTATGAAAAACATACGGCTTGAACTCGGGTAGTGTTAGTTTCAAATACTATTGTTTAGTGTGTTATTCAAAATGTCATATAACTTTTCTGCATCTCGGTTTTTCTCATCTGTCAAATGATCCAGCCTTGCCTCGCTCATAGGACTGCTATGAATAGTGTGGTAAAGTGTGGACCAAGAATTAGAAATAGAGTCCTGCTCAGCCCATTCCTCCAGGACTAGGGGAAGTTGACCTTCTGGGGCTTGTATGATCATGTAAAGATTAACCAATACTTCAGTAATTTAATACCTTGATTAATAAGGCCTAACCATCCAGTTGACTGGCCTCACAGTGACCCCATGTGGATCAGCGTAGAACTGTGCTCGATAGTGGCTGCTTTGTGGAAGTAGATGGCCATAGCTTTATTCCAATGTGCTCCTGCATGGACTCGAACCTCCAGCCTTTTAGTTAGCAACTGAGCACATTAACCACTATACCACTTAGGGATTCCAATCATACAGATCTGATTCCAAGTTTTTATGGGTATTAGCTCTGTTATGAGCAGTAAGGAAAAAATGTGAGAGAATATAAAATAATCCTATATTACTCAGCTTTGATGGAGCATTAAATGGTATGATAGAGTAACAGCAAAAAAAATCCAATGCCATCAGGTCATATGTGACTCTTGGTGACCCCATGTGTTACAAAGTAGAACTGCTTGGAAGTGTTATCTAATGTTTGGCAAGTATGGCACCTGCCCTGGCCACCAATGGGCAGTTTTCATTAACCATTTCACTTTCCATTGCCAGCTGTGAGAGAGCACTGAGCCAAGTGAAAACTACTCTTTTGGTATTTGACAGTCTTTGTGGGTCAAGGCAGACTGTGTGATCTTGCTCGGAAAGAAAATCATGTTGAGCGCATCCTAGACTAATTTTCATGAGTGAAAGCAAGGGAGCTGTAATTGTAGTTTCTGTGCAATTCCATAACGTGTGAAGTTGAAGAGCAATGAGTTTGATGTGTATTGTCGAGCTGATGTTCGGACAAAGTGATGTGCAATACGGGATGCACGCAGTGTGTGCTCAGGGCTGTGATTTCAGGGCTTGCTGTGAGCACCCTTTACTGCTGTCATGCCTCCAAAAGTGATCCATAGACCTTTCGGCTAGTAGTTGAGCACAACCCTTTAAGCCACCCATGGACCTTGATGACAGATTATAAAAGTGACCAGCTGTTGATTAGAAAGGGGTTTTCATGTGAAAGTTAAGGCGGCATAGTGTCAGAAGCAGACTAAACCAGATAAACCAATCTGGTGCCATCAAGCCTGGTTCCACTCACAGCATCCCTATAGGTCGGAGGACAGCATTCCAAGGCTGGGATCTGAAAGCAGGCTGTACACCTTTCTCCTAGGGAGTAGCTGGTGGGTTCGAACTGCCATCCTTTCAGTTAGAAATCAAGTGCTTAACTCCTGTGCCACCAGGACTTATTTGAGGTAGACCACTAGAGTTCAAATACCGATTCTGCCATTTTTTAGCCAGATAACCTTGACCAAATCCACTTAACCACACTGTCCCTCCATTTCCCCATCAGTTAAAACAGGTGATAACAGTAGTTGTGTTACAGGGTTATTCAGAGACTCAAGTACATCGTATACATAAACCATTTAGAAGAGTGACTCTATCTTAAATATCAGATTTTAATTTTCGTTTTTATTTAGAGGTCAACTGCAAGGGGACTTCAAAACGTCTGTGGAAACTTTCTATTATCTTTTTCATTCTGTTTACCATGGACACGTCGAAGCTCCCTTGTATGTTAAAGAAGGATGATCGGAAGGCCTCAGAGTCCAGGGGGTTTAGTGAGTATGCAGTGGGCTGCTAACCTCCAGGTCAGGAGTTCAAAACCACCAGCTATTTCAAGGGAGAAAGACAAGGCTTTGTACTCCCAGGAAGATAGTCTTGGAAACCCACAGAGGCAGTGCTACCTTGCCCTGTAGGGTTGCTCCGAGTTGGAATTGACTTGATGGCAGTGAGAGTTTTCAGTTGATGGAAAGGCTTAGAATTTGAGTGAGGTTTTGAAGCTGTGATGTGGACAAAAGAGCAAAGTTAATATGACATGTCGTGGTTCATTAAAGAGCCTGGCTTAGTCAAAGAGGATTTGTATTGAACACAGGGGACGTATATCAAGTACAGCCTAATTATAAACACAAATGCCACACAGTCATCGAGTTGATTTTGACTCATAGCAACTCTGTATAGACTATTCAAAACTGTATGTTTTTCTTGAAGCAGACAGCCTCCTCTTTCTCCCAGCTGGTGGCTTTGAACTGCCAACCTTGCAGTTACAGCCTAATGCCTAACCCACAGCTCCACTAGGACTCCTTAGGACCTGATTATAGGGCCCATGAAAATTTGCCATTAGTCTGGAATGATAGATTTACAGGCATTGAGTCCAACCATCTGACATCACAGATGAGGACATTGAGCCCCACAAAACTCAAAAGATTTGTCCCAAATGTGGAGTCACAGCAAGGGCCCATATGGGAGCCAGCATTGAAGCCTCCTCCTTTAAGTCCAGTGCTGAGTCTTCTGGGCTCTTTCTTCTGCCCATCTTTGGGTCTTTCACTGGGAGTATGGTGTTGACTGAGTAAAATTGACTGCCGTTGGAGAGATTCCAACCCTTAGAAACCAGATAGGACAGGGTGGAGTTGCCCAGTGAGTTTCTGAGACAGTAACTCTTTACAGGAGTAAAAAGCCTATGGTTCTCCCATGGAGTAGCTGATGGTTTTGAACTGCTGACCTTACAGTTAGCAGCCCAAGGTATAACCTTTATGCCACCAGGGATCCTCATAAGGGGATATTAAAATCCAGGAAGAGTGATCAGTCCTGTTCCTAAGGCACAGCCTTAAGTTGGAGGCCAAGAGGCTGGGAGGGGAGTTGGAAGCGGGTCTCTGGGAGGCTTCAGAGAGGCAGCCACACTTCATTACACTGGATTGTGTAGGCCACAGGACAGAATAAAGGCTCTTGAAGATGCCAGGGGCAGTGATGTAGAGACAGCAGTGTTATGGGAGAGTATTTTGTAAGCTCATATTATTTAAAGAGATGAATTGGAATGGTAATCACTATAAGAATAACAGTAATATTTTTAAAGGCATACCTATAATTCCATGTAATTTTTCATCATGATCTTGTAGGAAATGTGCTACTACCATTTTACAGATAAAGAAGATGAGATAAGAGAAATAAAGTCACTTGTCCAAAGTCACTGAGCTATGAGGAGCATTTGTTTTGTTACTGATTGTGAGCTTTAAAATGATGGGAAAGGTCTAATATAGAGAGAAGTACATGGGAAAATGAAAAACCACCCTTATGCCAGGTTGACTTAAATCTGTTGTTGAAGAAATTATGTAGTACACCTACGGCTAAAATTCTCTTCTCTTCCCCCTCAGAGATAACCAATGCATACCTTTCCATGGGTATGTATTCATTTCCTTCATACATAATGTATAGCTAGTGTGTAAGTATATATTTTTATATCCCTTCTATTGGGCCCTGCTTTTCATTCAACATTTGTGAAATTTAGGTATCTTTTTAGATCACCATTTATAATGACTGTATAAGTTCAGTTATATGAAGATATACTTTGCCCATCTTCTTATTGACAAGCATTTCCAACAATGTGTGCACGTCTCTCAATGTGTCCTTTGGTACATGTACAAGAGGATCTCTAGCCGGGATATGTGCTAGCGTGGCTGGCTCAGAGGGAATTGAACATCTGAAGCCTCACCCACAGGGCCTGAGCGTTCTGAGTCTTCATAATCACCTGTTTCTTTTGTTAACTTTTGCCATTGTGACAGATTACAATACCCTGTTTTATTATAGATTTAAATTGCCTTCCCCGGACTGTACCCTTTTAGAAGTCAGTTAGCCACACAAATCAACTGAGGCAATTGTTAGTTGCCATTGCGTTGATTCCAACTCAGGGCATCCCCAAGTGTTACCACGTAGAACTACTCCAAAACTGCAACTAAATTCTTGATTATTTTTTAACGCGAATCTTTTTGCATCTCTAGCTTTGGGTTGGAAAACTGAGTAACTGAAGGGAAAGTATCATGAACAATAATAAAGAATATAGTGTAAGGTGACCAGATATCCTGCTTTTGGCAGGACAGCCCCGATTTTTAACAATTTTTCCTGCATCCCTCGGTGTTTTTGAAAAGTCCCAATTTTTGGAAAGAATGCACGACAAGCTAGGGTATAACGTTTTCGGCTGCCATGTAGCTCTTTCACCAGGATATGAGTTTTCTCAATGGTGTCCCGCTTTACCAATGTTAAAATCTGGTCACCTTAGTGTAGTAGCACATGAGAACAGTAACATGTTCCTCTTTTTTGTAT